TTTCTGATCAGTAGGCGCGCGCCAAACGAGTTTCTTAATGATGGCGCTGTTCAACGCGCTAAGGAAATTTGTCGCCTCATCAAATCATTGCCTGAGGCTCACAAAATACCGATATTTGCGGCCGTGCGATATTATGCAAGTGGTAGTGGTGGTTTTCCCAGGTAGTCGATATCGGTGATACCGCTATACTTTTTTGCCTAATTTTTTGTTGTTTGGGGATGTTTTCTGGTTCAATTCTTCGCTAATTCATCAACGTGGACAGTGTTGGTGCTTGTTGCTCCGAAGCAAAAGCGACAACTGTCCTGGTCCTCCTCTGCTTGATCACTTTTAGACGGTTTTTCGCCTTTTTCTCTTTTTTCGAATACCCAAAAGAAATTCAACGAAACTGTATCGCTCCAAACTACATATTTTTTTTGCCATTGAAGAAAGTACGGAGGGCAAAACGGTGCGAACGAATCATGGAGTTTACACTTTCCCGCAACGGAGTCTACAGTTGTCAATTCGTCTGAATTTGGAACACCGGTAAGCTTCGGTGGACCGCTTACCCTGATCGTTTTCGGAGGTGAAGCAGTGGAAGCAACTACTTACCTTCTAAGACGAAACGTGAAAATCAGAAGGAATCATCCTTTAGCGCGCTGGATGGTATGTTTTGTAATGTGTTGCACAAACGGTTTGGTCAGGTCCGCTCCTCCTTGTCCATACCACTTTGGCCACATTTTCACTCACTAGTCGCGACGATTTTGAACAAAATATGTCATTTCCAAGAAATTTGCAAGCTATTTGCTTCACTTATTTTACCTACAATTTATTTGCTAGCGGAGTTCAATTGATAAAGTGAAATTCAGACAGCAAAAAGTAGTAATAATAACAATTCCTCGAATCACTACATCTGAAATGATGCGAATTTTGAACTTTTAACTTCGATTTTCGGATTACTTGAAATTTCAACCACCAAATGAAATTCATACTTTTTTGGATTGTGAAGATTTTAGCTAGTGCTTTAGGGACAGCACCTAAAGAACATTTTACTTTAGAAAAATGGAAGTGAATTATTCCATGCCCTCTCACTGCATAGCGGGCGAAGACAGCATTTTTCATGATTAGGTTGCATGTGAACTAAGGATGTTCGCGAATTTTAGCTTCCTATTTACTCGAGTTGATGAGATTGAAAGGGATGTCAAAATCCGAATACACCCACACATACACAAACTCACACACATATATACAGATACACACTCACCTGCATACACAATACGCACCGGCAGCCTCTCGTTGATATGTCTTTTAGCATTCCAGCAAGTATGTAAAAATGCATAAAATTGCGGAAACTGAAAAACGTAAAATTTCCGTGGAATATAGTACTCGTCAGCAAGCGTTAGACACCGCATCGACAAAACAAGAAGTCGCTTTCCGGGCTTTCCGCAACCCGCACCTAATGGAAATTTAAGATAACTAAGCCATAAGAATAGTTCGGAAAACTTCAAAAACACGTTGCTTCACTGAAAAAACCTCAAATTTTAGATAGTTGATCCGTGAATTTACAGGCTAAAGAGTATGAAAGAACCGTGTCTGGAGCCAAGCAGGTGATTGGTTTCTACGGCGGTTACAACGCTCCAAACAGAAACGCACAAATTCTAATGTATGTCTCTAATTCAGACAAAAATTTTGTCATGGTGTCTAGCATCAAGAAAAAATCAAAAAATATTAACGGCTTTTCAAGCTTCCTTAAAATATTTTTATTTTACCTATAGTGCTTTGACACTCACTACAGCAATTACTTTGGACGGGTGGCATGATATGATTATTGCAACACAAGATGTAAAACCACAACCTTTAGAAAGAGCACAGAGACCGCTCTGATCAAAGTAAGTCTAGGATTGCACTAGTGACAGTACTTCTGTGTCAACGCTTTAGAAATGAGCTATGAGCTTTTCAGGCTTATTCAGATTTGAGCAAATGCTACTTTTCATCAAGCTATCTTAAGGAACCATCTTATAAGCGATGATGATCACTGGATACAACTATGCCACTACGATAGGATCCTTGGGATGGCAGAATGGCCGACAAATGTTGAGAAGGCGTTTTCCACGGAACGGCAAAAATATTCAAGACTTTTTATTATCGGTTTCCACTAAATTTAGCCGACGGAGCGATTCATTTTTGAACAGTTTCCAAATGGTCCTTTGCTGTGAATTCTGTAATACATTTAATTCGGTATGATAGAAAGAAATAATCGTTTTTTCACTACAATTTTGGACAAGCAAGGTGGATACACTTGAACGATACGCAACTCCGGATTGAAGGGCCTGCCATGGTCGCAAATGAGTTTGAATTAGCCCAGTAGCAACAAACTTCTACAGATCGATTACCGAGGTTGTTCCAGCAGTTTGTAAAAAATGCTAATTTCAATAAAAGTTGAGCAATTCAAAAAACAATTAGACTGAGGTGACTGTCTTTGATACAGCCGCGTTTGAAGCGGTAACCTGCACTGCTATAACTAGTGAGAAGTAAAGATTTGCTACAGCAAAAAAAAAAAACAATATTTACTGATTTAAAGTCTAACAAGCAGAAATTCATTGCTAAAACAAATTTCGATTTCAGCAGCACAGTCAAAAAATTCTTTTAGAGAAAGAGTTGTTTTTATGCAACTTTTACAAAAATATTCCTTGTGCGGCACCAGAAGCGTAATTCCAGCTCTCACAAATACTTGCATTCTACGTACGGATGCGACGAACATAAGATAGCAAAACTGCTGGTAACTTGGCAATTACAACCCAGGCTGGAGTGCACCAAGTTTGCCGGTGCGATTATGCGTTTTTGCCCCAAATTTAACTGCACGAATGGCTGTTGTCTAATTAGTCGTTGACTGCACGAATGACTGTCGCTTCACATCTATCTTGTGCCTTCCTTGCCGTAAATCATAGTAAACATTGCATATTGGTCAACGCACAGGCTGCCAGTGCGAAGATGCGTTTTTTGCATAGTTCTCCGTAGTTTTTGTTGCTGCCCGGCACCGGTTTTTTCGGCAAATTAAGACTGGGCTAAACAAATTAAGACTGGCCGTCAGAACTGTCAGGAAACACCCCCTTAAAATTTCAGCTTTCTAGCTTTCCTGACTCCTCAGTTAGCTACTTACTAGAAGAAAACTTTCAGGGCCCGTGCGTGGGTACCACAAAAATTCGAGGGCTGGGTTTGGACTCATTAATACCTAATTGGGCAGGAAACACTTCCTTAAAATTCCAGCCTTCTAAACTTTCAGGTATTCGAGTTAGCAACTTACCGAAGGAAAGTTTCACGGGTCCATACGTGGGTATCACACATACCCGGAGTCTGGGTTTGAACTCAGTGAGACTTAAGTGGATGGGGAATACCCTCTTAAAATTACAGTCCTTTAGCTTTTCAGGTACTCGAGTTATCAACTTACCCGAAAAAAACTTTGACGGGCCCGAGATGAAAAATCGGTACAGAAGCCCAGCACACATACAAACAACCTTTTGTAGGTCTCGAGATGAAAAATCGGTACAGAAACTCAGTAAACACACAGACAACCTCTCCTCAATATGCGTTTTCCGCACTGCATAGCTGCAAAAAGCGCATAAAAGTGTCCGCTAAACGGAAATTGTTTATTTTCGTTTATGCAAAATTTACGATAATTTACAGTACCGAGCGTAGAAGACAGATGTGACGAAGCAACTATACATGCAATTAACCCAATTGCTTCACGTTTGATGCAAAACACATGATCGCACCGGCCCACCAGGTGTGTTCCATGATCGTACCTGCCAACTCATCTGCAGCTTAAATTTATCAAATTCAGCCCCCCTTATGCGTGGTTGCCACGCATGGCCCCGTGAAATTTTTGGCGGGAAAACGACGAACTCCGGAACCAGAAAAGCTGGGAGGCTGAAACTTTCAGGAAATGTTCCCAACTCATCTACAACTTTAATTTATCAAATTCAGCCCCCCTCCCCCCGTTATGTGTTGTTGACATGTACGGCCCCGTGAAATTTTCTGGCTGGAATTTGGGTAACTCCGGAACTAAGAATGCCCGAAACCTGGCATTTCAAGGGAGTTTCCCCTGTTCAAGTATAGCGTGGATAATTAACTTCCCGAGATTCGAGGACCAGTATGTACAAGAGGTTTCTAGCTAACGGAATTTCGAGTGATCTTATTACAGCACGAAACACGGCAAAAATGCATTGTCGCATGGGCCCGCCCAGTGCGCATCGCCAATGATTTTATGCGTTTTTGCATATATGAAAAGTGGAGTAAAAAGACTGGAATTAGGTGTCGTGTATAAGAAGACATTTCATGATGCAGTCTGTGTTTCATCCCTTAGCTGTATACACAGACCGAACAGTGCATGCAGGTAGGAGCGGGAATCGTAAGTACAGCCTCCTACCCGCCATGTATTGAAAAGACATGTAACTGATTTTCAAGATGGATAAGTGAAAGAGAAGAAGAGAAAGTGTAATAGCATGAAAGTAATAAAAGTGATGGAGCAGATGGAAGAGGAGGAGACTAACATGTGAGACGGGTAAGTAATTCTATGTAAATTATGAGAAAGCAACGTTCATGAAAATAACTTACTAAGTTTTTAATTCCTACACCATCAGGATAGATGAATTTACTAAATACCGATCAGTTCCTGAAGCAAAATCTTAGAACACAGCCTTCTAGTTTGGCAATATCAAACTTTTTTTTGTCTATAGATATCTGTAAGGCGTCTTGCCCAGTCAAGAAACCCCTCTGGAAGGGTGGAAATGCGCACATAACGAAGTAGCTGTAATATAACAATATCTTCTTGTACCGCGTGATCCATATCACTATCTAGATGCCCACCGTAATTAACTTTGAATGGGTAGTCCAGGGTCTTGCTTTATACGTTAAAAATGCATCTGCTGTCTTGGCATAGAATTTCGAGGTCTAAGAAACAAGCTCGTTGCTCGGAGTAAGTGGTGTTGAGTTGTAGGTTGGGCCCGTAGATCTTGCTGGCAATTTCAGCAAAGTCGGCGCAAATATCGTCGATATATCGGAAGATGAAAATGAAACTCCGGATTCTTACGAAGAAAGAGATACTGTATTACTGACAGTGTGAGATCGGCAATATCTGGGCTGGCATTGCCACCCATCGGTCCACTTTGTATTTGCTTGAATATGTAACCACTAAGTCGTACGTATGTCTCCTCAAGAATGGTGCGAAGCATGGCCTTCACTTCATCCTTAGTGTAGGATGTAACGTTACTTGTGGATTCGTTAGCATACCAGGTACTTGCGGCACCAGGTGAACCCGCGCGATCATGCGTTTTTGCAATATTTCGTGCTGTAGTAAGTTCGGTTGAAATCCCAGTAGGTAAAATTTGTGACATACTGCTCCATGAAGTTCAGGAAGTTAATTGCGCAACTGCGTAGTACTTGAGCAAGGAACATTCTGTCAACATGTCAGCTTTCCAGCCTTTCTGGTGAGTTAGCAACTTTTTCACCAAAACATAGTCGCACGCGAGCACAGACATGCGAAAGGGTTTTTGCCGCGGTTCTAGCATGGCACTTGGGCGGAGAACACAGTGGCAAAATTTCGGAACCGAAGCTTGCTTCGTTTACACAAATACCCGAACAGACACGCACACACACAAACACGCAACTACACACAGAAATACACGTGCACGCACATTATGGGCTGTCAGAAGATATGTTTTCGCATTTGCATATAAGCTAAAACGCATGAAAATTAAAAGAACTTGTGTAATACGAAATTTCAGTGAGTTTCTTTTGCATTTTCAAGAGTAAATTTTGTACTGCGTTGCGCTGAAATTCGGAGTGTGCAACTATAGGGCGCTCTCCCCTGGTTGGTGCTTTCGTTTCCAGCACTGCTTTATTGCTGGTGAGGGAGTTGACTTTCTTGATCCATCCACCACAGAAATTAGGTAACAAAGAATTTGACAGCCAGGATTGCCAGGTGTTTTAGCAAAGACCTTTGGATCTCTTCAGATTACAAGGGGTCCCAAAGCAAATATTTTAATTTCTTAAGTTCCAGCAGAAGTAAGGGCTACGTAACTGCACTACTGGTAAAATACAGTAACTGGAAGCTGCGAAACGACAGACGTATTTCAGAGCAAAGAACTGTCTGCAATTAGTGCACAGATATTTACGCAACTAATGTTCACGTCAACCGACAGCGCACTAGTTGTAAGTTTTTGCTATCCGTAGTTCATTAGACAAAAAAATTCAGTATTGTTCTGTTCGCTGGCTCTGAGTTGAGGCTATCGATAGCAGTTTTATCATTCGCAAGTAGTAAATTTCAGCCCACTTTTTTGTTTACTTCCGAAACGACTTGCAACAGTCAAGTGCATTTAAGTTAACTTATGAATAGCTGAAAATTTCATATGACATCTTTTCAAAATTTACTTTTTTACAGCAATAACTTCTGAATTTGTTGCAGAATTATGTGCAGTTTTTCACGATAACTGTTCGGTCCGAAAGTTTTGCTTTCTCCGCCGGTGGCTTCTTCAGTATCAACAAATCAATTGTCTTGACGGTACTGTAAGAGTTTTTACAAAATGAAAATCAATTAACGGCGCACTAGGCTTACAGCTGCTATCATGCTTTTTTTCATGATCCCCCTTGCAGAGAGATCTCCTGCACTGGGTATTGCAATTTGAAACGTGTGAGGCGTTTGTACGGAGCGCATGTGCCTAAGCGAAAGCTCATTTTATGCTTGCTGGCTCGCAGACGAACAGCAAAGAGACCTTCAGAAAAATGCTGCTTTCTACGCAGTCTGGTTACCAAATTAATGGGGTGCCAGCAGCGCCCCAAATTAACTGTTCAATTATGCTCGAGACCTAGACATCCTTAAAGCCGATTTTGATTGGCCACGATTGGGGCACAGAATTTCTTCGTAGAATTTCAGCTTCCTAGCTTAATTAGTTGGAGGCACAGGATCTAGGAAGCTCAAGTTTCAGCTGAACGTTCCTTGTTTGTAAAGATAGATTCAGCCTTCTCGTGCACCCAGACCTGGCTTACGGACATGTGAAAGTTTTGGAACGAAAATCATTAACAGAGAACCAGAAAATTTAGGAAGCTAAAATTTTAATAGAATGTCCTCTGCCTGCAAACAACTCCGCAACCCGTGCCCTCTCTCCCCCTCCCCCTTCCCATTGTTTACAGATAGCAAGTAGAGATGCACGAAATTTTTGATGCCAAAATTAACTCGGGAACACAAAAATTTCTGTGCGCATCAAACAGCAATACAGTGGACACTTTTGGCATTAAGTTTCACTTGGAGAGAAGTGCACAAGCGTTCTTTGGACAGAGTTGCACAGTACGCATACTCACACCAGATACCATGGTGCGCGCCGCTATTTACTGCATATTATGCAAGTGTAAAGGCGCATATTGACAAGAGGTTTTCCGTGTGTAGTCTGTGTATTCGCACTTCCTGTCACTTACTTTCAACTCCAGAACCAAAAAAGCTGAAAAGCTGAAATTCTGGGGGCATGTGCCTACCCC